CAATTTTCATATTTTTTTGCAAAATTATATCGAGATTTTTTATGTTTTTTACTAAGGTATGGCATTTTTCTTTTAACCCTTGCTACTAACCCATTATTTTGAAATACACAATGAATAGTAGATGTTGAGAAGTCAAGATTTTCTTTTTCTTGTAGTTGGTTTCGTACTTCAACAGCTGATGAACACCTCCGAGAAGTAATAAGGTTAACAATCCTTCTTTGTGTTAGTTCTTTTACAGTAGGTGGACGACCTGTTCTTGCTAAGTCTTCAAGAGAGTGGGTTTCAAGCCATCTTTTTCTAATACGAGAAACTGTAGAAGGTGCAATTTTTTGAGCCTTTGCTACTTCTCTAGTTGTGTGTCCATTTTGTAATGAAAGAAGAATTTGTGCTCTTTCATTAGAAGTTGTGTGATGCTTTTTTGCTGCTACTCGTTTATTAAGTAGTTGTGACATATCACGGGATCAAACAATTAACAAATAAAAATTTATTAAAGAGGGTAGTATATCTTTAGAATTGAAAGAAATATTTAAATTTAAAGGATTTTATTTTTTTTTTTGCATTATTTATGATCGCCACTGTATGACAAAAAGGTCCAAAATGCAAATTTTCGTCCCAAATGCCACGAGAAATTAATTAAATTGTATATTCTTTGAGTTTGGACATGTGATAAAAAAATTAGTTATAGAGCAATAACAGATTCTAAAACCCCGTTCAAAAACTATAATTTAATTATCCCCACATTGATATATTAAAATCATCGATCGGCATATGGATCACGAATTAATCTATTTTTTTACTCATTAAAAAGAATTTTTTTTATATATAAAGGAAAGTACAGATTGCAGATTTAATCAGCCAATTAAATTAATTCAAATTCCTTAACGCATTGATTGGCCAAAACTTTATATAAATAGAATATTTAAACACCTTTTTTTCCTTTTTCTCGTAGGTTTTTGTTTATCACCATGTCATCACTTCGAAATGCATTACAACGAAGAAATCATAAAGAGCGTTCTCAACCACGTTCTAGACAAAGATATGGTTTACTCGAAAAACGTAAAGATTATGTTCTTCGAGCTAGAGATTTTCATTCTAAACAAGACCGGTTAAAAGCCATGCGTGAAAAAGCTTATTTTAGAAATCCTGATGAATTTTATTTTAAAATGATTAATTCAAAAACAAAGGTATATTTTATACCCGAGAATTTTAGTCTGGTTTTATTTTATAGGATTGACGCTTTAATACTTTTGTAGGATGGAGTTCATGTGATGGAACATGATTCAACTTTATCTGGTGAAGCTATTAAATTAATGAAATCACAGGATTTGAGTTATGTTAAAACTCAACGCGATCTTGGAAACAAGGTTTGCTATCGAATTTTAATTTAAGTTTCTTTGTTAAGAAAATGATATATATATATATTTATTTACTTATTTTTTTTTTTTTAAAAAAAAAAAAAAAAGAAAATAGAAAAGTTACAAAGTGAATTACATTTTATTGAATCAGAATCCATTGAAGATAAGATAGAATTTGAAGGGAAAATAAAGGAAAAAATAAAATCACAACCACAACACATCATATTTGTTGATACTCCTAAAGAAGGTAACGTGCTCTTTTTTTCTTATAAAGAAAAGGATTACTTTCTAGATTAACGTAATTAATAAAAATTTTCCACCTGAAATAGCCAAAACTTTTGATCCGGCAAAGCATTTTGATACTTTACCGGAATTAGTTAATAGAAAGTTTAATAGGCCTCGTATTGAGACATTACAAAATGAGGTTATAATGTTTCCCGAAGATGAGACAGAACTAATTCTATTACATAAGCAAAAATTAATAAAATATAAAGAATTATCGGCACGTATGCAAAGACAAGAAGAGTTAAGAAAGGTAGAACGAGAATTACAAATTCAAAAAAATTTAATGGGTAAAGGACGTAGAAAGAAAGTTGGTGTAGATAAAGACGGATTAGCGGTATATAAATGGAAGAACGAACGAAAGAGATAACAAACTTGTTTACCAACAAGTTTTAATATATTCAAAGTCAAGAAGATTGATTTTAACTTCCACGATAAGTTGTATAAGAGAAAGGACTGATCAGCAAAGGAACATGATAATGTTGGTCGGGGTCAGTTATCTCGAAAATAACCTACAAAAATTATGCATTAATAATAAGATTAAAACAAATTTCAATTGTAATATTTAAAGCTTACCTGAACATAAGGATAAAATGATTTTTGGTCTAATTTATCGAAGTATTTTGATGTATAAAAAGTAATGCGATAAGTCGCACTTGAATTTTTGTTCAAAGCGATTTTATACCTTTCCGGGACTAAATTGGGACATCTTCCATCATCATTCGTATATCTTATATAAATAAGAGCGAATTCAATAAAAAGTGCATAAATAAACTATGATATAAAGGCTGAAGCTTACGATTGTCCAACAACTTTCCAAGTTTCTGTTCCATTTTCGTCGGAAACTTCAGAAGAAGTTTCCCTAACTTCTAACTTTATTTGAATATTCTTGCCCGGCATTCCACGTGAAGAGTCAAGAACATGACAAGTTATAGGGCCACGAGAAGTTGACATTTGTATATCTTTCTAAGAGAATGTTAAAAACAAATACTTTAATTATCAATAGATTTTGATGATGATAAATCGTAACAGAAGTTTGCGTAATTTGATAAGACGTAATGATTTTTATAAAATGTATATAATATATTTGGATTATCAAATTACATGATCATACATTGTCTTTTTTTTTTTTTTTTTTTAATTTTTTAACATAAAAATGCCTTTTCGTAAGGTTAAAGAAATAATATTCATTGGAACAGGTATGTAAATTTATATTACTTTAGATTAAATATAATATTAAAAAAATAAAATAAAAAAGGAACGTGTTTGTAGGAACTTCTTCGGGCGTTCCTACCGTCGCTTGTCTAACTGATCCCGAAAAAAGCTGTAAAACTTGTATGTCGACTTTAACGTCTGAAGGAGAAGTTAATATTAGAAGAAATACAAGTTTACTGGTTAGAGTTAATCATGAAGATGGTAGAGTTAGGTAAAGTTAGAACTTTAGGAGGGTGGTGGTTTTTTTTTTTGTCATCTTTGTAAGTTTAATTATTGATTCTAAATCGTTTAATTCAATACCATTTGAAATGCATATTGATCTTTTCATATATTTAACAGGAATATCGTAATCGATTGTGGCAAGACATTCTATGGTAAATAATCTCGCCTTGTTGTGATGTTCCAAAGAAGTAACTTGATTTAAAAAAATTTTTTTTCTTTTAGTTTCTGCACTAAAATGGTGGCCATATCATGAGTTGCGTAATTTGGATGCATTGATATTGACACACCCGCATGCGGATGCAATTAACGGATTAGATGATTTAAGAGCTTGGACATTACGTAAAGTTATACAAGAATATATCCCAGTTTATTTAACTAGTATTACTTTTGAAACTATTCAAACTCTTTTTCCTTATCTTGTTGATTCAAAACAAGCATCTGGTTTGTCATTTTAATATTAAAATTAGTCTCCTTTTATTTGAATTTGAAATTTTATTTTTTTCCTCATCTTGCGTAATTATATGTTCAGGTGGAGGTGATTTACCTGCTTTTAAATGGAATATTATTGATATAAATCACCCATTCACCGTCGAAGGATTAGAATTCACCCCTCTACCAGGTAAATGAAATCATTAAAAATCTTCAGATGTTTAATTCTTTACTACAAATATTACTTTAATCTAATACTCCTTTAAATTCTTATTTTTTTTAGCTCATCACGGAAAATACTTTACAACAGATGAACCATACATTTATGTCGGTTACAGATTTGAAAACATTTCGTACATTTCAGATTGTAATTTTATACCAGACGATACATTAACTAAAATGCAAGGAAGCGATATAATGATATTAGATTCATTAGATTGTTGGTATACTCTTATAATTATCTTTACATTATTTACCTCTTTTTGATTTTAACTTACCAATTGATCTTTAATTTTAGATAAAGAACATCCATCTCATTTTTCAATAAATCAAGCAATAAATATTTCAAGAAATTCAAATCCGGTACCAAAACGAACATACCTTGTAGGTTTTTCTCATGGTGTGAACCATTCTGAATTAATTAATGAAATGAAGCAATTACAGTTAAATGAACCTTTATTATGGGTTAGGCCCGCTCATGATGGATTGAAAGTTGTAGTTGATAACCTAAATGAAGAACAATGATAGAATCATTTTTGGTTAGACCTTCATTTTCTTTTTGGAAATTGTAAAAGATTACATTATTCTACACATTACATACATACTATATAATTTTAATTATTTAATAAAAAAAAAAAAGAGAGAAAAGACCGACTGGAACTTAGATCTCGAAGAATTTTTCATTTTAGAGATTAAACGCGTTTTACGTCATAGTGCTTTCAACAATCGCTGAAGAAACCATACCAATTCTTTTGGTTCTAACCGAAAAATTCATTGTGTAACCTCTCAACTAATATGACCCTAAAAAAAATGGGGTCAGCAAGAAAAGATTAAATACCTCGTGTAGTTGGATCATTTATTTTTTTGAAAATTTTTTTTTTTTTTTTTTTTTTTGATATTTGATCTTCGTCGAACAGGATTGTTGTTTAATCCTTGTATCCTTATACATAATATTGGAAAACTTTTACTGATTTCGCCTTAACCTTTGGGATTTTGAACCTTTTTAATGTTGCCCGGACTTTTATTAAACAGAAAAAACACAAACAAACAAATAAAACAAACAATGGAACCACAAGCTGATCCAATACAAGAACCCATACAAGAAAAAGAATTAGCGAAACAAGAAGTAGCAAAGCAAGAAGAACCCGCCCTTCCTCCCGACTTCTTTGATAATTCCTCATTAAATAATTCTTCTACAAAAGATTCTACTACAATGGAAATTGATGAACAAGAATGGATAAATTTTCAAAAAGAAATTTCAAAAGAAACTCAAGTGAGTAATCAAATTGCCAATGCTGATGACGAAGAATTACAAAGAGATAGAGATGAAATGCAAGAACGGGAGCAAGAATTTTGTTTAGCAAGGTTAGAAAAATTAAAAGAAGTTGCCAAACGTGTGAAAGAGATTCGTGATAATAATATGAAAAGCGAAAAGAAAGTAAGCGATGATGATGAGAATCTTGAAAATACAGATGATGATGAAGTTTTTGATGATGATTTCGTGGATGAGTGGATGGATTGGAGAGCACAAAAAATTTTGTAATAAACTGACCCATACTTTTTCAAAACAACTTTTTTATTAATAAAAAAAATTTTTTTTGACTCAATAATAATAATTAATAACCACTTTTAAAAAAAAACAAAAAAAATTTTTTTTTTCTTTGATTTTTAAGAATTATAATAAAAAAAAATTATAAATATAAATTTATTTCAAAATTTTCAAAATCTCAAAAAAAGAAATTAAAATAAAACGGAGGAACGACATAATATTATCACGTTTACGGTATAATACGTTAATATTAATGATTATTTTTTATTCCATCAACTATTAAATAACCTTTATACTCTTTAACGTTCCAATTATCCTTAACCAAAAATTTATTGATCGCTGTAGGCAATTTTGGCACTCCATTAGGTGAATGTTTTCCCAATCCTGTAATTATCTTCAATGGTTTCAACGATGTACCGCCTTTGTAAATATGAAATCGTAGGTTAAATATAATACATTTTCAAAAACTTCTAATTTATTTAATTATATTTACCAGATTCTGAGTACCATTGATTCAACTTTTCTTTAACTATAGTGAGTGCTTCATTCACACTACAGCCATGGAGATCAAGAACATTCTCCTCTCTTCTTTTCTCACTTTCAACACCATAAGAGAGAGTGGAAAGAAAGAAATAGCAACAACAATGATAAAATAAGAAAATTGGATAGATAAATTTATTTTTCCTATCCAATAGGAATATTTTATATACTGGAATTATTCTGCCCAATGTCCAGCAAAAAATATACCTTATGAATGAGGAAAAATCTAATCTCTCTATGGGTTTTATATAATCAATCACTTACCTATTTAACCTAACTGACGATCTGGCGGCTCTCAAGTTCCACCTTTTCATTTCTGTATCAAATTTCCTTCCCTATTAAATGTGTAATAAATGAATAAATAAAGGTCTCGAGACGTTTTGAATGTAATAAACATCATTATCTTGTTATTGAACTTATTTCACTAATCAATTTACCTCGGTTGAATAATGAAATGCAATTCCGCCTTCTCCACTACGATGACCTTTGGACTTTTGATAAGATTCGAATGCTTTTTTATAAGATTCGCTTCGCATTTCCATGAACTCTTGAGCCCTCATACGACAAAATACTGGATCATAGCGATCTTCATGATCTACTAACCCATCATCATTATCGTCGTCGTCGTAAACCTTGTATTTATTACGATTTGATGAAAAATTGAATTTTATCGGAATTTGTAATGAGGGCCTATTGTGATCCTTAATAACATTCGAAAAAGAGGGTGTATGAGATGTTTGCCTAAAATCTTTGCTTCGTAGTTTGATGGCCTCATTACTGCCGTTCCAAACACTGTTGTTAGCAGATAATAACATATCTATCGCATTGTCAAAATGTCCCTTACAAGTAATGAGGGCATTCCTAAGGCTTTCGAAATCGTGGTCGGGCAACACGGTTGTCAATTGACTCAGATTTTCATCAAAAGAGTCATCTTGAAGGTAATTCCATTGATTCTTTGATTGTAACGGTGAGGTCAACGGTGATGGTGTGTCCCAACCCCAACGTGAAGCAGAAGATGACGACGAAGTTGATGATCCCGGTGTTGCAGGGCTATTTGATGCCGAAGATACGTTGGCATAGGAACGGAATGTATTATTTTGAATTATGATGTTTCGTTTTGGTTTCCTGTGTCGTTTTTTTTTACGACGTTTAAAACGGGATTCCGAAACCAAGAAATTATCCTCATCATTAGGATCCTTCACATAAACGGAAGATGGTGTTGAATTTGTTTGAAAGTATGAACTATCTTGCTCGTTAAGAAGCAAATTCAAAACAACTTCCACATTATCATTATTTTCTTTCATTAACGTATCGATAAATTCAGAAATCATAGGGAAACATGACTTCAAAAACTCGGTAGGTGAGTCGATTATACGATTTACTTCAGAGGATTCGAGATATTTAATTTCCTCATCTAAAGGAATGAAATCATCCGAACAAAGACTTCCGGAATCGTCTCCTATAGAAAGGTAGTCCATCAAATTTTCAATACTGGTCATTGATCCATCCCCTAAAGATGAATAAATTTTATAACAATTTATTTACAATTCAATGACGCTTTTATTTTTTGGCTTACCAGTTTCGCCATTAGAGCTCTTGTAGTTGCTACTACTGCTGTTTCCAGAATTCATTTCATTCTTGCTTCTTTCAGCATCCAAGACTAACGTAGCGTCCAAAACGAAATTAGCTTCCTTGGCTAATTTCTCAAAGATATCACAACAATCTTCGAAAATTTTAACATCATTGAAGATAGCTGCGACCAATGCTGAGTCAAGAGGTGGACAGTATTTTTGCTATTAAGTTGAAAAAAAAATATATATAAAGAAACAATTGGTTAGTAAGGTATTGCTTAAATTACTGATAAAGATACAAGTTTTTACCAGAAAAAAAACGACTTTATGCAAATATTTCGAATTTCAAACATGGGACTTTGGGTATTCGTTTCTCCGCAATAAAAGATTTGATGACTTTAAAGTGATTCTACATTTAAGAAAATAAATAACTCTTTGCAAAGATGTTTTCGTCGGTCTAAACTGTGGTTCAATCAGCCGAAAAGTTCGAATCCGAAAGCAATGACGAACTTATATACAAAGCCAATGCAATTTTCCATTATATTTACTTTCCGCACATCTCACCTCTAATACCCGTAAAGTATCCATGTATTATTGTAAAGGTTTTTAAGAGGTTTTTTTTTTTTTCAAATTGAAAATTCTTTTAGAAATTCAGACCTACGCAATAACAGAATATAGCGCGTAAGGATAAGTTTTGAGCGGAGGGAACATTTCTATGAAATTTATGATTGGAAGTTTTATAGCGCATTACACAACGAAAGAGGGGTGTATCACAAATAATCACAATAACAAATTTTTTAAATAATCAGGGAAAAGGTTGTTGTCATTTGATTCACAAATGAAGGCTAATGTTATTGATATTACGTAGTAAAGTTTTAATCTGTGACTCAAATAAGAAACGCGAAAATCGATCTTAACTTTATCACTTAATCACGAATGCAAAGATTTAGCCCTGATAACATCAAAAAAATTTGTTGCTATTTGATTGGACTTGAAAATTAAATAAATTTAAGTTTAAGCGAAACATTGATCCAAGATATAATTTCTAGTTGGGCGGTATCCGCATTATGTTAATCAAGTATTCTGATAGATAAAATAATCTTGAGTATTTCTTTATCTTTTTTTTTCCTCCAATCATCAAATAAATTAACGATTTCTTTAATTTTTGGGTCTTGAAATTCGGTTAGAGTACTTTCACCAAATGTAAAATTGGGCATTTTATATAATATAAATGGTTCGTTTCATGCTAAGTCTTTATTTATTTATCCTCGCTTCCTTCGTTGTCTTTCTTTTTTCGTTAGGATAATAATGTCAATTTCCCATAATAGTAAAATTTGTTCGCTTTCCTCTTTTCAACTAGCATACATGAATATATGCGCCCATTATTTTATTTAATGCTTGTTCTTGAATTCATGAATTCATGAATTCACTTATTTCATAAAAGTAAAGGCATTATCAGAGAGAGTTTTTTTTTAAAATTTCTATAATTTCAGAGTTGAACCCTTTCAAATTGATTTCGTTTCAAAAAAAAGGTATCTAATAATTACCACATAGAACCTTTGGAAAATATTTAGAGCCTACGAGGAGATTCAATCGCCGAGAGTTCGCACAGAAAGTAGTTTGCCTGACAGGCATTAGGAGGAAGCAAGTAAAAGGTAGGAAGGAACTGAACCATACCTTTAGAAGAAAAGTTTGACATTTATTAATTAGGAAAATAGCTAGTAAAACAAAAAAAAAAGATATGGCTTCATTAACAATACATCAAAACAAAAAAAAATCAATGTTTACTATAAATCAAACCAATCTTGAAATATTAATTTCATTTTCCAAATGGCTTTCAATGAAGGCTTTTAATTTATTTTGTCCTCGTCACTCAAAACACATTAGAATTATTACCATTCTTGGTAACGTTACTCAAAACATTTCCCAATTAGTAAGAATCTATTAGTAAAAAGATCTTTCCAAAAGAAAGCCTCGATAGAAAAGTTCCAGCATACAAGGATAAATATAAAAATATTCTTCTTTTTGAGAGAGAGAAAGATTTAATATTGGGGGGCGTAAATCATAATCATAATAATAATAATAATAATAAATAGCAATACATGCAACGATTTGCAAAGATTTTCAACGATGTTTTTTATAATAATCATAATATTTGCGTTTCAAATTATATAATTATATTAAACTTGCTTTAAAATGAAAAGAGATATGGAAAATTTATCAAACACCATTGTCACGTTACTAAGACGTGATCATTTATCAATCTTGACTAATTCAAACTATGAAAACAGTGATTATGTCGTTTTCGGAAAGTAAAAATTTGTGTAACGGCAAGTTCAAACCGATCAGCATAAGTACTGTACATGTTATAAACTGTACATGATTTTCTTGTGAAATTATTCATGACTAGAGTCAAAGGTAAATCTCAAGAATCGAGTGAAGCACCAAAGAAAGCCGATAAACCCGAGAAAAAGGAAAGATGCTCTTATTCCGTTGATCAAAAACAAATAGTAGTAGAATATGCTCTTAAACATGGCAGAAATGTTGCTGCAAGGCTTTATAAAGTTGACAAGTCCATGGTTGGACGTTGGGTTCAGGCTAGTAAAAAATGGAATGCGGAACCTGCAAAAGTTAATTGGAATTCTCTACGAGTTGGTTCAGGACAAAAGCCTTTATATGAAGAAGCCGAAAATCAGTTACATAAATGGGTTTCTGATCAACATAGACTGGGTGCAGAGATTACCAACTCAAATGTCAGAAATAGAATGTATCAAATACTAAAGCAACCAGACATGAAGGTCTTATATCCTGACGCGGTAAACGAGTTCAAAGCTAGCTCGCGTTGGTTATCAGGTTTTTTGTCTCGCAAAAAATTAACCGTTCTACGTGATCGACCAGTCTTTAAGAAAAGACCTGTATGTGACGTGGTATTAAGAGAATATCGTCAATGTATTAAACGTCTTCGAAAGGATATAGAATATGAATTTACAAATCTTTTTAACATGGATGAATTACCCGTGTGGTTCGACGCGAAAGGTATTCTTAGAGTCAACCTGAGGCGCGAAAAGACGATGAAAATTCCTGATTCGCGTTTTAAATTTACAATCTTATTAACTTGCGTAGCAGGTATCTCTATTTTAAAAAAAGTTTTATATTTTTCACAAATATAATTAAAATGTTCACGCGAATTTTTATAATCTTATGACGTATTTCAGATGGAACCAAACACCCACCTATTTGCGTATTTAAAGGGAAAGAGTTACCATACGGTGAGAAAGTTCCTGAAGGTATCTTCGTTTGGTTTCACGAAGATGGAATCGTGTCTCAAGAGTTGATGTTGGATTATATCGATATGTTGCACGTTATTAGAATGATGAATAACCAATCTAGCAAACCTGCCATCATGGTTCATGATGAATCAATGGACTCCGAAGGAGCGATCTCTCGGAAATTTGCTTCTCATAATATCAATTTGGCCGTTATTCCTAATGGAACGACATTAAGTGTCTTGCAGCCGATGGATGTAATTAATAAGGTTTTCAAAGATAACCTTATGAAAGAATGGGATAAATGGAATGTGATCACTGGAATTGATCGCAGAGCCACATTAACTGAGATTTGTGAATGGGTGAAGAATGCATGGGAAGGAATCTCTAAAGAAATTATCTCTGATTCTTTCAAAAAATGTCGCATTTCCAATGCGTTAGATGGATCAGAAGACAAGGCGAAATTTCCAACCGTAGACTCTATTCTTAAAGAGATTAAAGCGGATGATGCAATGCAACGATCATCTCAATCTCAAAATGAAGTATTTAATAATGAATACATGGTTAAGACAGAAGTGGAAGATGAAGTTGAGAAAATGAATAAAAAGTCGAACGAAGAACCAATAACCGAAATTCATGAAATTTTTGATAAATATACGTTTGTTGAGGCCGATCCTTTAGCAGAATCATCGTCGTTTGTTTCTCATACACAAAGTCACGTGCAACCTATTATTTTACGATTCAATTCATTTGTCAACAAATCAAGTTCAGACTATATTTAAATCTATAAATTCAGTTGTAATAAGATTAATTTTTTTTTTTCTAATCATTGGGTGATTTTTTTTTTTTACAAACTTTATTTAAATTTATTTATCACCCATTAATTTTGAAATAAAATATAATTAATTTATGTAGAATTAATTAGAATGTATAAAAGTATTCGGATGTTATCACGACATTTCCAGCATTTAAAATCGATATTTATATTTCATGGTTAGAAATTTTATAATTAAAGGATTCGACATAAGAAAAATATTTTAACAAAAAATTAAAAGGTTACTTTAAAAATTCGACGGGAAAGTTTTCTTAGTAATAGTTGAAGCCATCGATAAGTTCGCCGCAGAATTTCTTAATTGTCACGGACATTGAGAATAAATAAATATTATTGCATTTGCATGAATAATAAACTGATCATTTTATGGGTGAGAAATAATATAATTTATTGATCCATTAAATTAAGTTCAATATTTAAATACAAAAAATCAACGTCCGAGAAAATAATAAAATAAAATTCAAGTGATCTTAATAATTGTATCAACTAAACCAGCTTTCCTAAAGTGAACATCTAACAAATTATTATAGCGTTCAGCTTGTTCACCAGGTAGTGCGTGACCAGATCCTACAAAAAGATTAAGAAACGTCTAAATGCTAAAATAATATGATAACGTTTTAAAATGTAAGTGAGTTGGTTGTTACCTTCCCAATATTCAAAATCAGCATTTAACTGTTCTGCTAAGTAATAACTATTCTCTGGACGAATTAAATTATCCCAAGATCCTGTTACAACCAAAATCTGAAATGAAAATGATCAGATTAGAATACCTTTTTTTTTTTAAAAAAAAAAAAGGGTGAAAAAGAAAAAAAAAATCTTACTTGTGGAATATTATGTTTAATACGACGAAGACGATCAGGAGAACAATAATGACGAAGACAAGCAGCTATTTGACCAATAGCACCTAATAATAATAATAATAATAGATAGATAAATAAGATATTTTTATATTTATTATAAATTAAAAATTATTATAATAATTACCGTTAACTGGTTGGATTCCACGACTAGTCATTCGTTCAAGGAATTTCTATTTAAATTTTACAAAATGTCAATTAAGTGACTTAAGCGAATTAATTTCAATGATATTTTACTAAATCATTTACATCTAACATATGTTTCTCATTCGTGGGATGAGGTGAACCCGGAGGGGCGGGAGCTTCTAACCATTCCTAAATGGATAACGCGAATATTAACGTCAATTATCACGTGATTCTTCAAGCATGGTCCACTTACTTTGGGATAAATTAATCTTACAGTTATTTCAACTTTCTCAAGTGGATTCCTAATAAACATTAATTTACTTATAGTAGTAACAGCTAGCAACTTCGATATTATAATAAAGAAGGGAAAAAGTGAAAAGAAGTCAACGTTCAAGGTTTATTCTGATATATTCAATTTTTTTTATTTCTTTTAGGAATCTCCTTACCGGAGGTAATGACATTCCTGGTGTAGTAGAAGTTAAACAAAGTGACTTAAAGAATAGTGGTTTTGCCAACACCAATTCTTGTGCGATCATGCCACCCATTGAAACACCAATTAAGTGGACATTGTTCGTCCATCCGATATGTTCACACAAATCAATTATATCATGAGCCATTTGACTTGTGCTGGATAATATAACACCAAGGAAAAGTGAGTGTAATGATAACTTTACGTGGTATCTTAAATTATGATGATAGGTTACCTGTAGAATCCTGGTGGTGCATCTATGGTGCGTGAATTGAAAAAAAAATTTTTTAATTTTTATAATAGTTAAAAATAAAAAAAGATCGAAAGACGCGAATTCGTTTACCCGAATAACCAACACCACGATTATCAAAAACGCATACTTGATAATCAGGATGACTTCCGAAATGTCTGATCTAATAACATCGAATAAGGTTAGTCAAATTCAAAAAAAATATTTCTGCAAGGATTCTGAGATAATTACCTGGTATTCCCAACTTTCCGAAGTAAGATTCAATCCTAATAAAGTATGTTCACATGATTTAGTTTCGTTTAGAATTAAGTCTTTTTCAAACATTATAGCATACCCATGATGAAAAGAAGTTTATTTGGGCCTTTTCCGTGTGTTTCATAATAAATTTTTACTTTGGTATTATTTTTTCGAAAGTTGTTACCAACTTCACAATAGCCACTTTCTACCAATGTTGATGTGTGTGTGTGTCTATTATTATTGTTATTATTATTATTATTAACATGAGCTGATTTGATTGTAACCGAAGAAACGATATCGATATTATTAGTCATTATTGTTTGATCGATCAAAAATACCGGTAAAAAAAAATATCCTAAAACTTTTTTTATATCTTTAAAAAAAAAAATTTGTGTTACCAGCGTGAGATTCAGTAAATAATTTTTCCGCAATTTATCTATTTATAGTCAAATTCTAAATTAGAATTCACATGTAGCTAGTCCATAATAATCATAATAATCGTATAAAATTCGTCATTAAAAGAATTTCAAAATTTAAAAACTTTTTTTTGTAAAATGAGTAATAAAACTAAAAGTCCTCAAACTAAAGAAGAAGTTGAAAAACTTTTGGAAAATGATCAACGGATAAAAGTAGCCGGTAAAATTAGCTTCTTTTTACGTGAATTATGAAGTCACAACGTTAACGCGTTAAAATTACTGAATTGTTTATAATAGGTGTGGATGTTGATGGAATTCTTCGTGGAAAAATTATTCTAAAGAGTAAATTTTTATCCATTTTAGAGAATGGATTCGGTATGTAATTATGATCTAATTTAAAAAAATCCTTTCATTATTGGAATTCCTATTTGACATGTTTCGTATAGGATTTTGTAGTGTAATTTTCGGATGGGATATGCATGACAAGACATACTCTGAAGAGCTCGAGATATCCAACCTTGAGAATGGTACAAATTAAATTTTGAACTCTGGGAAAGTTTTTACATTGAATTGATTCGAATTTTCTATTTTGAAATAAAAGGTTACGCTGACTTAATTGCCAAAGTCGACATATCCACTTACCGTCGTATACCATGGGAGAATAATATCCCATTCTTCTTGTTATCGTTTTATGATCCCACAACAAAAGAATCACTTCACGTATGTCCAAGGGGTCTTTTGAAAAACATCTTAACCAAATATGACGCATTAGGTATAATTTTATTTATTTTTATGAGTGCTCTATTTATGAATTTTAATTCCTGTTATTAAAATTTTTAGGTTTAAAACCGATGTGTGGCGCTGAATTTGAGTTTTTCAATTTCAAAGGTACGAAACAATATATTATTAACATCATTTGATAAACAACGCGGACTAATATTCGATTATATTTTTTTTCATATTACAAAAGAAACACCTGAAACATTAGCAGCTAAACAATATCATTTGCCTGAACCATTAACACAGGGAATGTTTGGTTATTGTAAGTTACAGTTGCCTAAGATTCATGACTTATTTGTTTATTGTATTTTGTCTTTATTATTATTATTATTATCATTTATTTATATATATTTTAGCTTTGCTTCGACCAACTTCGAATCAAAATTACTTTTATGATTTATTTGATAAGATGAAAGAATTCGGCGTGGATTTAGAAGGATTGCATACGGAAACAGGTTTGTGAACGCGTATCAGCTGTAGTCATGTGATATCCCATCTAAATAATTTATATCTATAGGTCCCGGCGTGTATGAAGCCGCGCTTTCATATTCGCAAGCGATGGATATGGCGGATTCAGCTACATTGTTTAAGTTGGCCACAAAACAAATTGGTATCCTTAGAGGGGTTATGCCATGTTTTATGGCGAAACCACATCCTGATCTACCAGGATGTTCAGGACATATGCATTTTTCACTTAAAAGTATGAACACAGAAGAAAATGTTTTTGCCAAAAAGTATAGTGAAGTCGATGAATTAGTGGAAAATGGATCAAATTTATCAAATGAAGAATGGAAAGATACCAAAGCTATGAGTGATATTATGAAACAATTTTTGGCAGGTATTCTCGTCGGATTACCAAGTATTATGCCGTTACTAGCTCCAAATATTAATAGTTACAAAAGGTTGGTGGAAAATTATTGGGCACCCGTAAGTGTTTCATGGGGTCTCGAAAATCGAACCGCAGCTATAAGAGTAATTTCGCCGCCGACGTCACCAGCATCAGCAACTAGGATAGAGTTGAGAGTACCAGGAGCTGATATTAACCCATATTTTGCAATTGCTGCTACATTAGCGTGTGGATTATATGGTATTGAAAATAAGTTATCTGTACCGATTCCACCTTTATCATATATTAATAATAAAGTAGGCATTTCACAAGAGGAAAAGACGAATTTATTAGCTCAAAATCAATTATCCAAAAGTTTAAAGGAAGCTACTCTGGTCATGATGGCCAAAGATTCCATAGCTAGAAAAGTATTAGGTGATAAGTTTGTTGATCATTTTGGTAAAAGTAGATTACATGAATGGAAATTGTGGGAAACTTGTATAACTAATTGGGAAACTAAACGTTATTTTGAAACCGTTTAATTGCAATCTTTGCATAAAAGGTTATTAGGTAATAAGTTGAACGGAAGGAATTCAAATTTCAAATTATAATTGATTATATTGATTTTATTTATAAATAATAATTAATAAATATAAGTTTAAATACTTCTACACTCGTGATATGACGAGATATATCAATCCTAGTGTTCTCTGTGACTTCAGATTATAATTACGATAATTGGGACAAGGTCATTTTTGTGATGGTAATTTTTTCTTTTTTTTTTTAAAAAAAAAAAAAATCCACACGTTTTATTTATTTTTTACCGTTATTCTAATTTCCCTTCAAATCATTTAGGATGTAAAAGAAAGAAATTTGTAAGTAGAATCTTCACTTGATTTGCGGAGATCCGGGAATTCCGCAAATGAATTTCATATATTTGAAAATGAAGGAAATACTTCATTCTCGTGTGTAGCCAACATTATTTCATA